GGGAAGCAGAGGCGGCTGGTGGTGCCGCAGGCGGGCAGGGCGGACGCCGGGGAGTACAGCTGCGAGGCCGGGGGCCAGAGGGTCTCCTTCCGCCTAGACGTCACAGGTGGGTTTCTTGAGGTCTTTCTTACGTTCCTTAGGGATAGTTAGGGAGTTAAGTTGTCTGTGGGGTGCCGCCTACTGGCCTCTATTCTCACAGAGCCTCCCTGTAATAACAGCCGGCAGGTGTCAATCATGTCCTGAGGGCCTGGGTTTTGAGAAGTGCTTCTTATCTTTTTGCTTGCTTAAACTTCACAGCAAACCAGGGAGGAGAAATTCTGATTATTCCCATTTTAAGATAAGGCATAGGGAAGTAACTCACCAGAGTTCGCACAGGCAGAAAATTGCAGAGCCAGGATTTGGGCCTGATATTCTGGGATTATTGTTATTTTTTCTGCTTGAAGAACTCTTGTCTTCAGTATTTTTTAATATTTTGTCAGGTCTGCTAATGATACACATTCTCTCATTTTTTTTCTTATTGCTTATATGAAAAAATATTTATTCTCCCTTCAATTCTGAGGGCTATTTTATCTGGGTATCAAATTATAGTTTTGTAGCTACTTCTCCCCGCCCTACCCCCAACATTTTAAAGAGATCATTCCATTGTCTTCTGGCTTCCGTATATTCTTTTGAAATATCAACTGTAAGATTTATTATGATTACTTCAGAGGTCATGTATCTTTTATTCATTCTGTTGCTTTTAAGATTTTCTTTCTGATTTTGCTTTTCAGCAGTTTTGCTTTGATAAACCTAGGTATGGTGTCCTTGGTATTCATCCCGGCTGGGTGGCAGAGCATCCGCAGTCTGTGGGTGTGTGTCTCTCATCAGCTGTGAACTGTTTGTGGCTGTTCTCTGTTCTGTTTCATTTCTCTCTCCCTCCCTCAGGATTCCTGTTACACTGTTAGACTTTTTACATTTCCCACATGTATCGTATGCATCTCTCTCTGTCTCTGAATCCTTTTCTTCTCTTTGCTTTAGTCTGGATATTTTCTTTTGAACTGTCTTCCAGTTCATGGATCTTCTGTTCTGCCGTATCTAATCTGCTGTCGATCCCATCTATCATGTGTTTACTTTCAGTTATTATTTTTTCAAGTTTTATAATTTGCATTTATGATTAATTTTTATAGTTTCCATAGATTTTAGACTCTGTATTGAAAATTTTCTTATTTGATTTATTTTCTTTCCTTTTGCATTTTAAGAAATATTAATTATGACTAGACCCTGGTCTGATAACCGTAATAACTGGATCATCTGACATTTCCTTTTTTCCTCCCTAATATTTGGCATGCCTATGAATTTTTGACTGGCTGTCAGACACTGTATGACAAAAATTGTTGAATATAAATGATTTTATCTTGTTCCAGATAGAGGATCGCTCTTTTTTTTTTTGCCAGGCAGGTAGAGGGTCACTGAGAACCTGGATCCACTCCAGAGCAGGGCCAACTTGAGACTGCTCTGCAGTTTGATTAGGGTCCTCTAGCTCTGGTTCACTGCAGACCTTGGGCAGAGTCCTCCAAGGATTCCTGCAGAGACTTGGGGTGTGGGTGGGGACCCCTTCACCAGTCATTCCTCAACTCTAATCTTTGTCCCTTTGCAATGCAAGATGCTGAAATGTCCACTCTGGTTCTCAGAGGTTTCTGCTTGGCTTCTTAGCCTCTGCCCCAGGCAGTTTCAGAATTTACTGCATGTCTAGAGGGGAATGTGACTGAGTGTGGAGTTCAGTTCTGCGCCATCCCGGAGACTTGGCCCCTCAGTGCTGAATTCTGTCTATCTCGAACCTTATCACCAGTTTCTGCAAGTGTTTCCTCCTCTCGGGACTTCCCTGCGTACATCCAGACTGCGTTGGCTGTTCCCCAGCACCCTGTCTGCGTGGCTCACGCGGTTTGCCCTTTGCTCACTCCATGCCGGTTCCTGCAGGGAACGCTGCAGGGAACAGCATTTCCTTCAGCTTTCCTCGGGGCTGCCTCTTCTCGTCACACAGCACTCCACTTAAATATGCTCCTTAGTGAGGTCTGCCCTCAACACCGAACTGAAGTGCCAGTCGTCCCCTCTCTCCAGCACGTCACCCTGCCTTACTTCAGAGAGCACTTGTCATGGCATTGCGTCCTTATGTCTGTGGTTTCTGCGTTTGTTTGTCTGCTGCCATGAGCAGGTGATGTCGTGAGGACAGGCACGCCGTCCGTGTCGCTCACTGCGCCATGCCCACCTTCCGCAACGGCGCTGTGCGTGCTGGGCCCTGCGCTCATGCTGGCTGTGTGCGTGCTTGAATAAATAACCGAGTGAATGAGTGACTGCTTTAACGGTATGCGGGCTCTGAAACCCTATATGCACTCATTTGAATTTCTAAAAACATTTTAATGTGTTCCTTTGAATATTTTGTGCAGCTAGCCGGAATTACAGTGATGACTATGTACGTGGGGTCAGTCATTAACAAAAACATTTATGTTAGCTATCATGTAATTAAAATTATTTTTCCAGTAAGTAGGGACACGGTTCGAAATGAAATATTAGGCATGCCGCAGGTGCAGAGGTGAGCGGGGACGCGGAGCTAGCGCCGTGACCGTGCGTTCAGTGGAGCTGGCTGGGAAGCGCGCTGTTTATGAGCAGCGATGGTGTTGGGTGTGGGTAGCGCCGCTTGCTGCTGCTGGGAGTGAGAGTCAGTACAACTGTTTTAGAAAACTGTTTGGAACCATCTGCCAAAGTGAAACACAGGCCTGCCTCCGTCCCAGCCGTCATGGGCCACCAGAGCCGTATACAGAAATGCCCCCGGAAACTTCACTCATCATATCCCCAAACTGGAAACATCCCAAAGGAGCCACAAGATGAAAAGGAAAGCTAAATTGTGGCGTTCACACACTGGAATCCTAGACACCAGCACAAAAGAGCAAACTGTACTTGCAGATTTTTGGGGGGGGGGACTGGGAAGAATAATAAAAGAAAGAATAAGGCCGGGCGCAGTGGCTCACGCCTGTAATCCCAGCACTCTGGGAGGCCGAGGCAGGAGGATCACTGGAGATCCTGAGTTTGAGACCAGCCTGAGCAAGAGTGAGACCTCATCTCCACCAAAAATAGAAAAAAAAGTTAGCCAGGCCTGGTGGCTCGCGCCTGTAGTCCCAGCTACTTGGGAGACTGAGGCAGGAGGATCGCTTGAGCCCAGGAGTTTGAGGTTGCTGTGAGCTAGGATGACGCCACGGCACTCTAGCCCAGAGGGAGACCCTATCTCAAAAAAAAAAAAACAAAAAAAAACAACAGACTATTGATACATGCAACCACGTGGGTGCATGACACCGAAGGAAAGAAAACAGACCCCAAAGAATATGTCATGTATGTAATTCCATTCCTGTGAAATCGAAAGAACAGGCAGAAGTAGTTTACCGTCAGAGAGGTCAGAGCGGTGGTTACTTTCGGGCAGAGGTCTGTGGTGTAGGGAACTGGGAATATTCCATTCGTTGACATGTTTTGGTTACGCGGGAACAGGTACACCTAAGTTCAAGCTGTACGAATAAATCAGCGCACTTTCCATGTAAGTTACGCCCAGATAAAGTGTCCGGTGGCGTGTGCGAGGACAGAGTGTGTGCAGCTCTGGGCACACAACGTTGAACCACGCCGACCTCCCACGTGGCAGAGACCACGGACCCAGGTACAGGGGCTGGCATGTCCTCTGCCGCCTTCCCCAGCCTTCGAATTGCTCCTGAGCTGGGAGGTTCCCAGAGTGTACTCTTCGGGCTCCACGACAGGAGACATTGTATTTGTGAACAAAGGCCCAACACCCCACCAGACACGGGATGTCAGTGGCCTAGAAAAAAAATTTGCTGAAATCTGAAGCTTCAGTCCCTGTGAAATGGGGCGGTCCCAGCTTTGTATCTCTGATGCCATGTATCCCTCCTGTCTGTCCCCAGAGCCCAAGCTGATGTTTGCCAAGGAGCAGCCAGAGCGCAGCGAGGTGCGGGCCGAGGCGGGGGCCAGCACCACGCTGAGCTGCGAGGTGGCCCAGGCGCAGACGGAGGTGACGTGGTACAAGGACGGGAAGCAGCTGAGCGCCAGCCCCCAAGTGCGCGTGGAG